GGGGGGCCCCAAATCGGGGTGGGGGGGGGGGGGGTCCCCAAACTGGGGGTGTTGGGGACAACCCAGCGCTACCTCCCAGCTCTGCTCACTGCCAGGGGACCCCCCTTTTCTTCGTTAAGTTTTAACTAATTCATTCTTAATTAATTCCTGGGGCTCATTCATTAATTTTTCAATCATTTCCCGCCCTTTTTTTTTTTTCTCCGGCCGGATTTTTTTTGGGGGGGGGTTTATTTTTATTTTTTATTTATTATTATTATTAAAAAAAATATGGAAAAAAAATCATTTTAAAAAATCCGAATTTAAAGGGGACGGACCCGGCCCTCGCTCCCTCCCCGCGGTTTTCCCGGGATTCCCCCGGTCCGGGGAATTCCCTCGGGAATTCCTTCGGGAATTTTCCTCCCCTCCCCCTCACCCCCCCCAAAAAAGGGGAGGTTAAATTTTGGGGTCCCCCCCCAAAAAAGGGGCCCCCAAATTCTGTATTTAGGGGGGAGGGGGCTCCGGCTCCCCCCCCCGCCCCACCGCGTGTGAATAAAGCTCCGTATGGAAAGCGCTGCTGGTTCCTGGTGCCTTTGGAGCGGGAATTTGGGATGGGAGGCGACAATTTGGGATTCTGACTGTCCCCAAATGTCCCCAAGTGTCCCCAGGGCTGCGTTCCTCCGGTTCCCCCGCTGCCCGTTCCCGCCCGGAACCTTTTTACCGCCGCACCAACCTCAAGGTGCTCCCCGCATTCCGGTCCCCCATGTCCGTACTTCCGGTCGCCAGAGAAGCCGCGAATGTTTTTATGCCCTGGACCAGCAGGGCGTTTTATAGGGGAATCCATGGGGGAAAGGCCCAAAAGGGCGCCCTAAAACCCCACAGGGAACCCCAAAAACGCCCAGGGAGCCTCCCCCTCCCCGGCGCCCCAAAAGCACCCCAGAGATTTCCGCGGGATCCCCAAAACCACCGCAGGGACCCCCAAACCGATCCCCGTCAATTCCCGGGGCTCCCCTCAGGAATTCTCCCCTCACGAATTCCCGCCGCGGGCCCTCAGGAGGAGCGCGCTGGGTTTGCCCGCAGGAATTCCGCTTCCCAGCGCTTCGGCAGAGCCCTCAGCTCCCGGTGCCGCTCTGTGGCCGCGGGATCGGGACCGGGACGGGGATTGGAACCGGGACCGGGACCGGGACCGGGACCGGGAATCGAACGGAGCGCGGGGGGGAACCCGGGGCCGCCTCAGAGCGAACCTCCCGCTCCGACAGCGCGCCAGCCAATAGGAATGCAGACATTCGTGATCGACAGCGAAGCGAACCAATGAGCATCAGAGCACCGCAAAGAGCCCGCCCACACAAGCACAACCAATGAGAAGCTATGATGAGCTTTGACAGACAGCTGGAAAAGCCAATAACATCGCGAGGCTCCGCCCCCAGGGCGGGTCTCGCTCGCTGATTGGCGGACGCAGCGCGCAGACCCGGAGGTGGAGCTTCCGTACGGGCAGGGGCGGGCGGGGGCTGCGGGCAGGCGGTGAGTGGGGGGCGCCATGTTGG